GAACCAATCAGCACGCGGCGCAGAGCGAAAGGCATGAGCGCATACCCGTGAACTCCCGGCTGCTCCCAGCTGAGTGGGGAGGGCCGCCATTTTCGTTCAATCTCCCGCGGAATGCATGGGATCGGCATCTAAATCTCGATTATTTCCTTTTATATCGCTGGCTCTTGCAAGAAAATGATATACTGTAATTCCTCTGTGGGTTAAAAAGCTAATAAATGAAGTTTTCTCGACGTATGGCGACAAACTTTTATTCAGGCGAAAAAGAAGAAAAAGAAGCAGACGACGCGTAGCCTCAGCAGTGCTCTTCTCCGACGAGTCTCCGATAGCGTTGCGAAAAAATGGCGGTCGTCTCCTCTCTGCTCCCTTCTTTCTCTCTCGCTCCTTCGGCGCTCTCCTCCCTTTCATTTACATTTCTCCTCTCCGGCGCCTTCGTCGCCACACCCACTGGCCAAACTCTCCCAATATACGGCTCTGGGTTAGGCATATCCGGCATAGGCGACGAAAACTTAATAAAACATCTCAAACTGCAAGTTGTAAAAAAAGTAAGGGGAGGCAAAACGAGAATTGATGACGGTTATGCTTACATCTTAAATGTATTCTATTGGCATGGCGAGTGCGAAACGAGGGCTGCGTTCCAAAATGTACTCGATCCAACTTCGGATTAAAGGTTTCGTACCTTGGCGTTTCAAAACTAACTCGCGATTACTCGATGGCGTCAGAACTCGCGTTCCTGAAGCTGGTTATTTACTCCGGAGTAATTGTTCCCGCTTCCCTCTTCCGATCGGTGAGTAACGCGAGTAAAGACGTCGCGTGAACTGTTCGCCGTGTGCTCGTTATGTGCTCGTCGTCTGCTTTCTGCGCTCACAGCCGTCGAAGCTCGTCTGCTTCCTTGGCTTTGGTGGCAGATGTTCGAAATGGCATAGAACGAGGTGCAGCCATTTGTGTGTGGTTATTGTGATTTTCTGTTTTCAGCACACAAATGGGCTGTGCACCACATCCAGACCGTGACACTTGCGCGGGAAGGTATACCTGCTGTTCTTATTAGATTGCGAGCGTAAACAGGAGCTTGCATCCTCGTCTTCGGCGCTGGAGTGAACTCCGTTTTCTTACGCTCGAGGGTGAAGAAGTTGGAACGCAGATGATGTAGAAGTCTTTTTTTTTCCAGAATGTGCGTAATGGCGCTTGTACGGCAATAAATGCTTTGAAGATATCATGCATAAATATATATGATCAGTCAACAACCCCACCCCCTCTGTCACCCCAAGAAAATGCCGTTTAATTTGAAAGTTATTTTTGTGATTTTTTTATTGTCAAAGAAATGGAAATAAGTTACATATGTCATTATTGAGTAGCGCTACACCGTGTGGAAGCATATTCTAAATTTCCTCAAAATGTAATGAATGCGTGGAATGCGTACGTTTAGGGCAGTAGAATTACAGCAAGTGCGCTGGTTAATAAAAGAAACAACAAATGTTTGATGTCTAATTGAAAGGAATAAGTAGTTTTGATCTCAAAATGCAGTCCAAAAAGAAAGGTGACCAAGTGGAGCCGCTGAAGCTACCTCCGAAAATACCGCGTCGTCATTGTCAAGGAAAAACCACAGCTGTTAACATTATCGTCTCTTCGAGTGCTTCCTCCGCCCGAATTATGGGCATTTCTACCCATATTTCGGGTATCGTCTCCAGGGCCCGACGGACGGTCACGCGTGTGACCAAACCGTGCGGTCCGGAAGTGCTGCGGACGCTTTACGCAGCGCTTGTACTTCCCACCAAAGAGTATTGCTCGGCAATCTGGTCTCCATGCCAACGGCACCTCTGCGAGCAATTCGACAGTGTGCAGCGCTGTGATGCGCGCATCATCTGCGACCGGTCATCCACCACCTCTGCCAACTCGTACGACACACGTCTTGGGGCTCTTGGATGGAAACCCCTTGGTGAGAGGCGACGCATGTGTTGTCGGGTGCTCGACAGGTCGCTTTCGGGAACCCCCTTGTCTTCTGTATAGTGCGTGTGAGCGAAAGAACGGGACAGCCTGAGCAGCACCGCGGCAGAACCCTCCGCCATATCGTGAATCCATGATCCCCGCAGCTGTCAGAGACTCACTAACAACTCCCTCTTCCGAAGCCCTCTACCAACTTTATACTAGGAGTTTCGAGAAGTCTGAGTTCTCCTCTATCGTCGAGTGGTATCGGGATCTTTTTGAACTGTCGTCATGTGAACTGTTCTTATGTGTTCTTTTTTTTTTTCTTTTTCAATTCAGTGTATATGGCGGCCGGCTAGCAGCTACACATGAGAAAGGGTTGTAACATTTCTGCTTAGCTACGCACGCTGTCATGTACGCACAATATCCTTTGCAAATAAATTACAATAACAATGAAAAGCGATCGTCCGCTATTTTTCCGTTATCGCTGCTGTTTTCTTTTTGCCGTAGCTCAAGGCGAAGCCCATCCGCGTAGTATTCAGGTGATAATTCTGGCCACTCCAAAATCGAGTCGCGGATCATTTAGTCGCGATGTCACGTGGTATTACTCGCAGACGTAGAAGACAGGTTACTCGGGTGAGATTTGGAACATAGCCATTGTTTTCCTGTATACTGGAAGTGACGATATTCAAGGGAAACCCGTTGTGATCTATAGGTATATAGACACGCGCGTAAAAAAATGTCGAAACCGAAAGCAGATGATTAGCGTGGAGAGACGTGACGTTAGCGACTCCGGAAGTCACGTGGGTTCTTTCAAATCTCGCGACCCCGCCTCCAAGTATTCAAGAAATCAAGATATTGTCAATTTTTTTAGTACAAACAAAATCGTTTATGAATTCTTTTTATATTTTTGGGTATAAACTAATTATAGTGTCTCAGATGGCCCATTTATTTCTATCAGGTAATTTGAGCTTTATGTCATAATCGTGCGTCTTTCACTCAAAAGAAAAAAAAAAAACGAAAGAAAAAGAAACGCGAAGACAGCCCTTATAACTAGGGCTCCGTGTTTTCGGATAAATCCGAAAAACTCCGAAAAACACCCGCCGGTAAAATTTTGGTCAAGTCGGATTTATCCGATAAACTCCTAATATCTATGTGTCAGCGTTTTTTTTTTTTTTTTTTTTTTTTTTTTTTTACAGTTTGATCAGCACAGATTCAATGGTCGTGGGAAAATTCCACCATAATTATCTTTCAAATCTCGGACCGTTGTCAACAGGGGTCTTGCCGCTTGTATCTTCAAGATTGATTCAGGGCAACAGGTCGTTCGTTGTACATTTGGGTCACGACAAAAGCCACGCTTTTAGTTTCCGGTTTGGGCCATGCGATTTGTGATTTAGAGAAAGGAAAGGGTATGTATTAGTAACAGTGAAAGCTATGGACCATAGGGATTGTATAAAATTGGGAAGAGGGGCAGTTCAAACTCTCTATTACCTCCTTAACCACTCCACCTCACGCGGCCGCGGGCTAAATTGATGAAATAGGGTGGGATGACTACGAGCTTCCTAGCGACTACCTCCGGGAGTCTATTAATTTTAAGGTATCGGCGTTTATCGAAGTACCACTTGTGTGTGACTTTTGTTGTGGATAAACAGCGCTACGTCCGTGTCACTTCTTTGTCTGGTCCTCGTCTTTTCGCTCTGTTTGTAAATCCGATGGATAAATTAGTATTGCCAATAGCAATGGCACCAACGCCAAATTCAACTGAAAATATTTCAATTGATACAAGCGCGTCTTCTTTTTTATCTGGCATACGTTTACATTCGGTTATTACTTATTTATTTATTTTTAATAGGAAACACAGCGAAATTAAACTCCGAATTTCGGAGAATTGGGAATCAAAAAAATATAAACTCCGATAAACTCCGAATCTTCAACAAAAAATAAACTTCGAAAAACACCCTCCGACTTTCACGAAAAATAAACTCCGAAAACACGGAGCCCTACTTATAACCAAATCTTGACCGCCGTTTTTTTTTTCTTTTTTTCTCAGTGTGTGTGTGTGTGTGTGTCTGTTGAGAAGCTACTATCCTGAGCCGAAAAAAAAAAAAACACTTTTCTTGATAATGCAATTAAATGCAAAGGTGCAAGCGAGCTTGACACTGAATGACGAAAATAATCCCTGGAGAAGGGGAAAAAGGGGGACAAAGGACAAACACAAATCTCCAAACACAGCTATAGGTGACTGGTGCGCGACCGAAAGAATCCGCCTGGCTGTGTTTGGAGATTTGTGCTGTTTGCCCTTCGTCAACCTTGTTCCCCTTTTCCAGGGATTATTTTCGTCATTCTTGTCCAGCTCGCTCGCACCTTCGCATTAATTACATTATCATCGTAACCTTAAAATGCAGGCCGTTCACCGTTGTTGGTGCTAGTATGGTGGCAACAGATAAAATCCAACATTGTAAAACCCGAGACGTAGGACAAAAGGAGAAGAAAAAAGGGGACAACACTGACACAGGTCCGTGTTGTCCCCTTTTTTCTTCTATTTTTGTCCTACGTCTCGGGTTTTACAATGTTGAAAGTTCACCAGCTCGCTTGCATCTTCTCTTTAATTTCTAAGATAAAACCCGTTTGCTCTTCTGAACTCCTGGTTAGCTCGGTTGGTAGAGCGCTACACTGGAAAAGGAGATGTCCCTGGTTTGATACCAGGATTAGGCGAATTTTTTTTCAGTCGCGCACCAGTCATCTAGTTGTGTTTGGAGATTTGTGTTTCTCCTTTGTCCCCCATGTTCCCTTTCACCGGGGATTTTTTTCGATATTTTCCTGGGCAGTCTGGACATTGCAGGCTGTGTTTCCGTAAGTATGAAGACACGTCTAAAGCCCCATATAGATCGACCTGAAGTTTACAAACAAGTCCGCGGTTGCTACATCAGATGGGGGCGCCGCACGTGTGCAGAAACCAGATTCGCGTGAAGTGTTTGCACATGCGCAGTACCGACAGCAGCGCCACTGCAGTGGTATGGCGACAGGACCGCGAGATGATGTGTAAATATTTTTTGTTTTGTTTTTGTTTGGACCTTCAGGAGCACCTGGTGGTGAGTAAAGGCTACCCTTTCGAGAGCCACAAGGTGGAGACGGAAGACGGCTACGTCATCGAGATGCACCGTATTCCCGAGGGACGGACGCCGTCGTCGCGACCCGGGCAACCCGTATTCCTTATGACGGGACTCGGCGCCGATTCTTCCATCTTTGTCTTCGACTTTCCCGGACAGTCTCTGGGTGAGTCATCAAGGATGAGCACCACCCTCCTTTTTTTTTTAGAGCGCAGCTCTTAGGCGCCTGTTTCTGCGTTTCGCGGCGTCGCCGTCGGCGTAACCGCATCAATAAATTTAGTGGGAAATTGAATTGGTGTTGAAGTCACGTAACGTCAATTTTCACGCTAAATCTAAAGGAGAAGCGGAATTTGTTTATGGGTGACGTGGCACGATGTCATGTGACGTCATTTTCCCCGCTAAATCTAGCGAGGAAATTGACGTCACGTAACCTCAACATAAATTCAGTTTCTCCGCTAAATTTAGCGGGGAAATTGACGTTCCATGACATCGTGTCACGTCACCCATAAACGAATTCAGCGGGAGGAGGAGAGGATGAGGGGAGGGTACAGAGGAGGAGGGGGAATACTCTCCCCTCCTCCTCCTCAAGAGCTGCACTCTAATTTCGCATTAGGGAGATTTGTAAACGTCTTCAATTTTATCTTCGTGTAAAAACAAAAATGAATGGAAGATCTTGCAAGCTACCTCCACATTGCTGAGAATGCCTTGACAAATTAGTAGAGATATAAATTGATCATTTGAAGACCTGCGCAATATCAACGCTATTAACTACGTTTAAAGCAATTCTGTAACAACCTTGAGAAAATTTTAAGAACAAAACTCTCCTGACCATTTCCAAAGAGTCAATATGTCATTTTCAGTGGAAAATATAAAAAAAAAAACTCCACACTTTCCCCCTAAAAGTGTCAAAAATGTAATTTTCAGTGGACAATTAAAAAAAAGAACCCCTCCACACTTTTCTTTTTGAAAATTTAAAACCCGTTTTCTGCCTCTGTTGAATATAACAACCCTCAAAAAAGATTTAATTTTTTTTTTTGAATCGAAAACTATGCTATTTTTGTTTTTCATGATAATATTATAAACAGTTTTTTTCACAAAGCATATCTTAAGGTGCGTCATTATTTTATCGATGCTTTATTGCTGTGGTCTAAACCACCGCCATACGCTCGGTTGTTCAACGTCAAATGTTAGTAATAGAATGCTGTATTCTAGAAGATTCATAGCACGCTGTAAAAAGGTGTTTGGTTTTTCTCTTTCTCTTTTTTTTTTTTTTACTTCACTGCTGTCTTAGGGTTTGTCCTAGCGGACGACGGCTACGACGTATGGCTCGGAAACACCAGAGGGAGTACTTACGGCAAAGAGCACAGGACGCTCGACGTCAAATCTAAGCGTTTCTGGGACTTCTCGTAAGTTACGAACTCGACAGCAATCCTCTCGCTTTCGTTCGCACAAAGCTGACTATTTCAAGGTAGCAATCATTTGAAAGATATGTCACCCAAGTATACTTCTCTGTTGCTACTTGTTCCGGCTGTACCCGGGAAATAACATTTCTGATAGAGTGTATCCAAGAACATCTTTTGGACTACCACACCATTGACCTGTACCACCATTGTTCGATCAGACATCTATCATTAGTCGTTAATTTTCTATCATCGTTAGCCGTGTCAATTTTAATGCACAATACGTAAGTAACAACGCGCCATACAATCCACGTCTGCCTTCGAATTGGACATTTGGTCCCACAACTGAACAGATACTCGTGTGCACATATTTAGTGGAAAATCATTTTGCGAGGAGGGTTAGGAGAAGATGCAAATCATTATAATTTTAAAGCATGAATAGTTCTTGACGGAGCCCCCTCTCCCCCTTTCCCTCCACAATCCCAAAATTTTGTCCGTCCATTCGTCCGTCTGTTCGTCCGTGTATTTTCCGCTAAATTTACGAGGAAATTGGTGTCACGTGACATAAACACTAATTCACTTTCCCCGCTAAATTTAGTGGGAAAATTGATGTCACGTGACCTAACATTCCTAGCGATATACATCAGTTCAATTTTTCCGCTAAATTTAGCGGAAAATTGACTTCGCGTGAACAAACAGTAAAAGTTGTATGTAGGCTCCTTTAAAAATTATGCGTCTGAAATTTTCTTTTGGTGTTATTAGCAGGAGCTTCGTAATAGTCCATAAAAATTTCGATGCAGACCGACCCGTGACGGCGCGCCGACGGTAGGAAAGCGCGAGAGCGGAGAGGAAAACTAGAAAAGTGATTTGACCAACGAGGTCAGATGACGCTTGGTCGCCACTAGCTGACTCGAGGATGCCGTTAATGACGTCACGGCGCTTTGGACAGATAAAGGCCGGTTCACACATACAGCGGAGCCCTCAGTTAGCGCTTCATGAGTGCTGTAAGCAGCGTTCATGTGGCACCAACTTGCGCGTGACGTAGCTCTCGGTTATAGCGCTTCAGAAGCGCTCCAGCAGGCACTCAGTTAGCGATTCAGAAGCGCTATACAGTAGGCGCTCGGTTAGCGCTTCAGTAGTGCAGTGTAAGAGCTCTTACGTCTTTGCGCCGTGCTTGCTGCTGAGGAAGACCGCGTGCACAGCGATTCCGTTGTTGTTTTTCATTTGGCATTGAAAGAAGAGGAAGTAAAAGAGCCGCTCTCCAAGCAAAGGGTCGGGCAGGCGATCCAGAGTCACGAACTCTGAGCGACTAATTGATGGGGTATGACCCCATCGCTTTCTAATTGATATTCGTGACCCTGGTTTCAAGGACACGGAGTTAAAAAATAATCACCTTCGAAAGAGCTATGTGTCTCGGTCCCTCAGCCTGGAAACAAGGTTCGCCGGATACCCGTCGGTATTACCTCGGTGGCGAAAGATTTCGCGCACCCAGAAGGCTCTTCTGGGCGTTCAGTCGTTCACACACACATGCACTAATTGTGTATATCAGAGCATTTGCCGCGTTCCTATTCCAGCTTCCCACATGTCAGCCACAGTACTGCTGATGCACACCCAACCACAGGAACCGGAACCGCAGTGCACGCGCTAATCGGCAGCAATAACCGCTTATTGGAAGTGGATCCGCGTTCGCAAAGCGGTTGCGAACGCGGTTGCATAAAGGTCTAGTACAATTTCACGCGCATTCGATGTCATCATATGCGCGTGCAACTGTACTGGATCTTTATCCAAACGCGTTCGCAACCGCTTTGCGAACGCGGATCCGCTTCCAGTGTGAATGTGCGGTATAACTTCCGTACAAGAAGCAGTGTGTCGAACCAAATTTTTTTTCGTTCCGGTTTTCGTTCCGGTTCAGGGAAAACGGTTCAGCTCCGGTTCAACTCCGGAGTGAAAAAATAAAGGTTCAGACCGGTTCGAACCGGTTTGTATATGCTACAAAAACAATTGATGACAGCAAAAAAGAAACTATGCATATTTTATGAAAGTGTTACATATAAAAAGTAAAGGCCCACATTACCCTCTGGAACGAACTAACTAGTGCTGGGGCACCTCGGGACGTGGGTGAAAGCGCAGTTCGATGTCAGGTAGCTGAGCAAAAAAGCAGGACGTCGTCGAGCATATCCGGGGAAAGACGGCACCTCTGAGACGATAAAATGAACTTTAGTGCAGAAAAGGCTCGCTCCACGCTGACCTTGGGTTGCAGGCAGTCCCAGGGCTACTTGCGCCAATGCCCAGAGTTGCGGATGGCGTTCCCGTCTCCCCTCCCAAAACTGTAACACGTTAGCGTACCCTTGAAAGCCGCAGCTCCTTGTCTAGCATTTCCAGGAGGCATGCTATATCAAGTTGGCTAGTGGTACCTCGAACGTGGACGCCAGCCTCAACCTCTCTTACCTTGAGGAGCGGTTCCAGGGCGTCTTCCGGGTCTTCTAGAGAAGCCGCAGTTCCAGAAGACAGGGTAGAATCTTGCTCGCATTGTAGAGCTGTGATACACCTCCAAGTATTTCTCAAGTGCAACTTGGCCCGGTACTTTTGCTAAGGGATGAGAATAAGGCGATAGAGGGGGATTCATGTACATTGCTGCACAGAAGGCATCCGTGTCAAGAAGCTCTCGCTCCCTCTTTTTCATTGACTGGACCAAGGCCTTTGCTAACGGCGACGATATCTTGTAATTGTCCATGGAATATCTCAGCCGTACTCCGTGGAAATCTCCTACAGTGAGCTGTACCTTCTGCAATGTCTTCGTCGCTACTTCTGCCGGGCGAAGCGATACTGGGAGCATTTCGACTTTCACCCCTACGTCTTTAGTGGACCTGGAGCTTTCTTCTTTTGAGAGCAGCCCTCCAGCGAAGCATCTTAGTTCAAGTAGCCTGGTGAGCATATGCAGCGAGGCCAACCACCGCGTTGGACAATCAAGCACAGGTTTCTTCAGCCCTAGCTTTCTGATCAGGGACACAACAAATTGGACACGTAGTATATTAACAAGCGCACGGCTTTCTCAGGCTTGCATAAAAATAAGTTTATTTTTTACATTTTCTGTTTATTTTTTAGTTTACTTTGTTTTTCTCCACGAACTTTTCACGCGACTTGATTTCGTGTATGAACCGAGAACCGAAAGCCGCATGGAAAACATATCGGTTCCGCTCCGGAGCGAAAAAAATTATTTCGTTCCGGTTCAACTCCGGTTCGAGGGAAAATAACGTTTTTTTTTCCGGTTTTCGGTTCACGGTTCGGGGTCGGTTCAATACCCTGACATGAAGCGCTAACAAGGCGCTACTCAAGCGATAATCGCGCGCTATATTAGCACTATGTCACGCGCTAGAAAGCGCCACATGAGCACTTTTTGGAGCGCTCACGTAGCGCTAACTTAGCGCTCTGTTGTATGTGTGAACAGGCCTTAACAGGCGGCAGAGAGGATCGCCGCATGTCCGGCGGCAATCACTGCACGTACTTTTCAAAATAAATGCGGTTTACGTTTACTTATGTGCTTTAGATAAGTGCGATAACTGAACTCATGGGACAAAAAGCTATAGAAGTCCGCTCCTAGCTCAAACTCCTTGAAAAGTTCTCTAGCTTTCCTCTGAGTTCTCGGTGATTATAAATAAGATGTATCCCATGTCTCTATTCCTGTTAATAAAAATACTTATAGTTTTCTTTTATGTCTTGCTAAGTTACATTGTTCAAAATGCACCGACGTTTCAGATGGCGCGAGCTTCGAACTTTCTTCGACACACTTCTCTGAACACGCATCAACAACGAAAATAAACTATTAGTTATTTGGTTAACTATTACGTAAGCTACAATGTTAAGCCTAAGATATGACTGACACTGGAAAGTGGCCGTCGGTTTCTCGAATACTCCAGGGGCACAAACTCGATCTCAATCGCAGCTTCCACGAGCATAGCCTCTACGACGCCCCCGCCCAAATCGACTACGTCCTGAATACGACAGGAAGTCCGAGCCTCATCTACGTCGGCTACTCGCAGGGTACCCTCATGTTCTTCACCATGATCTCCGAAAGGCCAGAATACAACTCCAAGGTATACGAGCAACAACAACAAAAAAAGTGTTCTTCCTCATAGTAGTTCTTATCATGTGAAATTTACCCAGCATCACCCAAGCGACACGTTTTGTCAAGATGAAAAAGCCTCATTATAGACCTTTTTTCGTTTACTCTCGTCTGCAGCCACCTAATAAGCGTATTCGGTATGGTCAACCAAAAAAAAATAATAAAACTTTGAAAATAGTAACAAATAAAGGGGAGACAAAACGAGAATGGTTGACGGTCACGCTTATATCCTAGATGTATTCTATTGGCATGGCGACCGCAAAACAACGTTTTCGCCCAGACTGGAAGTGACGATATTTCAAAATGGCGGCGTCCTTGTGAAATAGGTCTATACTCCGTTCATTGAGCTGAGACTGCATCCAAAGTTACAAGCGCGATCTAGACCACGCTCCTGGCTTTGAGACATGCATTTCTAGCGCGAGAGCTCGTACGCTGCGGATGAAGGCTTCAAGGCAGTGACCTCGAGCTGTCGTGCTTGTTCAACTTTTTGCGTCTTAGTTTTCCTCCTAAACTCACGAATCGCGCTGCGTGCCAAACAGTTTAAGATAAGGGAAAGGAGGAACACTTTTCTTGCTCGGATCCTCGTTTGTGTACCCGGACATCGCCATTCTCTCCCTAGAAGATTAGCACGTCGCTCAAAATTCATACAAAAATTTTCTTTCCCCAGCCCGTTCATCCCTAAGCTGACAATACTGTGGAAGCTACGAGCTACACTTTTGGCACGTGATCACGCTCCCTAGCGCAAAGAATGGGGTCAGGTGATGAGAGGGAGGCGGCTGATTGGTCCGGCAAGCGCGCAGCTCACAGTGCACTGCCAGCTTAGGGGTGAAAGAAACATAGGGAGGTCGGGTAGCATGTGACATCTATTGGGATCGGGTATCACAGTATTATCGCAGTGAAAAGAAAGGGCGCTTTCGAAGGGAAGGAGGTTCGAAATAGTCCGCTATGTTTTCAAAGCAGGCCTTTTGACTTTCTACCTTCTTTATTTTGGCCCGCTAAACGGTAGGATATCAAGAAAATTCCAATCTAAATTTATTTATCCCAACCAAAAATTCATTTGATGGCCCCTTTAACTAAGGGCGAACGGAGTATAGTTTGCGTAACTGCCGCAGTTCTGCGATAGGTGCGGAATGTAAAAGCAGACATTAAGAAAACCTAAAACGCAATGTGTACCGCAATGTAACTTCTCCGCAGAACTACTATGCATAAAGAGAAGCACCGCTTTGAGATAGATAAAACAAGAATATGATTTTCTCTAAAATGTTTTACAAAGTTTTTTTTGCGTTTTGTTGGAATTTACCAACTATGCCCGTGGAAAAGAATCTGTAAAAAATATTCTCGGTAAAACGGACAAAAGAAGAGATACATTAGATGTATTAGGGCACCGACAGTTTGCATATTCGATAAGAAATATAAATTTCTACGCTAGCAGCCCGATACGGTTTATAAATAGTGTCGTTTGTTTAAATAGACATTCAGTTGAAAGCAGCGCTTCGCGTTGTGTTCCTCTCCTTTTGTACCTGTCTTCCGGCGCATATTGTTTAAAGAATCATGTGCCAACTAGCGCCATTTCTGGATTTTAACGAAAAAGATGTATTTTGAAGGCCTCAGAGTGACGACCAAAGTTTCGCTAAAAGACTTAGCTTATTAAGTGCTAAATAAGTTCTACCTCCAGTGAATATTTTGGGTGATAGCTATCGTTTAAACAAAGGCCGTTGCAGGTTAAACGGAACCTGAAAAAATTTACTTTTTTAACTAATGTTTTTATTAAATCCCTTACATTCCCACAGCATGAAACAGTAACTAATTTGTGTTAACACCCAGTAATTTTTCTAACAAAAAAGTATATTTTCCAGTTTATGAGGCTGACATTCGCGTTCATTCTCAAATTCGCGTTTTACACCGACCGGACCGACACCATTGTTAAAACAAAAGAATGTTTACCAACTGGTGACGGATATTCTTGTCAGTGCCGCCTGCCGGGCGTAGACTCCTAAAAGACCGCAATATCAAATATAAAGAAGAGAAAGAATAAAAAGAATAAAAAAACCGCTGCAGCCCATAACCGCTTTGGAACACAGCGCATCATACAAAGGACCTCGTGACGTCATAACGAGAAAATGGTATCATGGAGATGAACTTCTACTTTCAGGTTCGAGTGTTTGCGGGATTGGCGCCTTATAACAAGGTTGCTCACATAAGGATTCCGGGCCTGAAAAAGGTCACAGCCCTCCACGACAACCTTATAGTGAGTGATACCTCTATAAAAAAAATGTATATATATATATATATATATATATATATATTTATTTATTTACATATAAATATATGCTGCCGAGCCTTCATAAAAAAACTGACACGTCACACCATCACATGATGCGCCACGTGGGATGTCACGTGAAGTTTTTACAAGCCCGTTACGTAGGAAGTATACGGGGTTTACTCGCATCTGTATGGCTACCGCTTAACTACGTCATGCTGTATTCGTTTGCCATTTTGCTTCTTGGCTCAGCTCGGTGCAGAAGAGAAGAACGATAGCAATAGAGTGTTGCGTTTCAGGCAAGAAATCAGGGGGCTTGTGTCAGTAAATGTCTTCTGTTACTTCTTGGAGCACGTAGACAAGGTTGGTCTTCAGAAATAGGGGGTCAGAAACCCTCTTAGAGCGCCTTCCGTATGCCAATAGTCTATAGTAACCAGGGCGGGGGACTCAACCAAGTCAAGATCCTCACTAGTGATTCTTTTAAGATTACCAAAGTCAAGCAACCGGGGCAGGGGTTTCTTGATTTTGATTCTGATTCTGATTCTGAGAAAGCAGTTGCGTCTCTTGCTGATATCACAAAAAGAAAAATAGAAAAATAGACGCTTTTTTTTTTTTTGCGAAGATGGGATGTGAAACGGGGTGCTTACAGTATGTTTTCACAGTGAAGCATAAAAGGCGGAGACTCAAGAGAGAGTAATTAGATTTTGCTTCCACGCGGCTAGTGGAAAATTTTACATTTTTTCTGCTTTTCGATTACTGCCTGGAATTAAAAAAAGGAAACTGTGAAGGCATTTTCAGTAACACTGCAAATTAAGTGTGCTTTTCGTTCGCTTTCAGAAAGCCTGGTACTCCGTCTTCAAGCCCGAAGTTTCGGCGCACAGTTGGAGCTCCGTGGTGGCGGCACGCACACTCTGCGCTGTGCCGAGCCTGCCCGTATGCGCAGCCTTGGCAGATGTCCTCCAAACGGGGACCAAGTACCTTAACGTGGTATTTAGAAATCGAGTTATTCACCGGCGCTCCACGAAAGACTCAGTAATAGCAGAAATATTTCAAGGCGAATTGCACATTCAGGATGGTGGTAAACATTTCCTACTTTCCGCAGAGATAACCTCTCGAAATCATTGCATTCCGGCGAGAAGGAAAGATTGGGCGGGAGTATTAACCAGGCTGATGATGATTACGCACGTCGGCCTATCAGAATATGCCACCATTATATCGCGCGTTACATATAGCCATATCAAGTGACATTATTAGCATGCGGATATGAATAGATGTGCAACATAAATCATATATGAATAAGATATCATAACTTTTGTGATGTGAATATGCTAAATGTGCGCGCTGGGAGAATATTGCTTTTAGTAAAATAAAACTCTATATGAGCATAATGTTTGATCCCTCATCCTAGATATTTTGTGGTCGAATGAATTTTTTTTTTCTCGTTTGCAACCAATGCAAAACCCTGTGTGGTGGGTATTACAAGTATTAAATGGAATTATATTGTACTTTATTGTCAGATAAATGTAGAAACACCCTAATACCTCACTTACATAGTAATAATTGAAGTAATTCCATCTAACTTTAACTAATAAATTTACTGGTTACTGCCACATTTTCCGCCAAACAGTCTGTGTTCCGTCACCCCGTTTCACGTTTATGCAGCCATTTTTAGGGTTAAAAGATAAGACAGGACTATAAGCCCATTCTTTGTTCTGCCCAAATAAGATGTTAAACGTTATCTTTAGATAACAAGTTCCCTGCTACACGTTATTCTTGTTGTAGGGAACGCATTCCTTATAGTTTGGCAAACAAGTCCCCTGCGACAAGTAGCCTTGTTAACACTGTTTAAAAAGGCAATAATTTAAATATGAGCTATCGATTTCAGTTTGAACCTGTACCCAGGGTCGTGATCAAAGCACGCCTTTTACTCCAATCACCCGCAAAAATTTGGTGGGGAAACAATTTTCGTAGCCTATCATAATCGCGGGAATCTTAGAACGGGATATTTTGTAGTGAAACTCAGCAAATGCTTTGTTTCGCAATCCGACATACCTAAACATCCCATCGTGTTTGACATTACAGTCTCGGCTGCCTGTTTACATGTGCAACCTTCCTGCAGGAACATCAACAAAAAACATGCTTCATCATTATCAGGTTAGTTCTAAGGCTCATTACCAAACCTTGTTACGCCCATCAGCGGTGACTGATGGAAGTTTTCGGGTAAAACCGTTTTACCGCTAGTTACACCTACCTAAGAAAAAGCAGAAACCAAAATAAACAAATTTTTCTCCCTGGCTAAGTGAAAAATTATTCAATCGTAGCATGAAATATACATCCAGAGCTCAAAGCTGGGTTTATTCATCTAGTTTTGTCTACTACCGATGCACGCACATGCTTTTGAAAATAATGCTGATAAGTGGAAAATAACATAAAAATCGCCACTCGAATGTGGGCATCTATAAAAGCGCCAAAAAAAAAAAAAATATATATATATATATATATATATATATATATATATATATATATATATATATATATATATATATATATATATATATGGCGTGATGTCTGAAATTATTTGTCGCGTTAATTATTTCTAAAAATCCAAAAGGTGACTAGACTTTGATATATATGTTTACCTGAAATTAAAAATTAAATAAAACTGCTGTTTTTACCTGCCCGATTTCACGAATAATCCTGGGTTTTTCTCCCCCTCAAAAGCTCACAAGTAAAGCGTTATGGCGAATTCTACCGTTCGTTTCTTAGCGCGCCGAGATCAGTAAATCAGATCTGAGATGGAGCACGCGATCCGAACGGAGTCGCTTCTCCTGCGGATATTCTGTGAAACATGACCACCCCTCCGGGATCAGCGGATGCCTTCCCGTCATTCACCTTCCCGTGAACCACCTTCCCGCGGTCTCGGATCTCGAAGCACATGTTTTCGCAATCGCGGCGCTAACAACACGTGTTCAACGCACGAGCGAAGTTAATCATGATGTGAAAGATACGTGTCGAGAAGTGATGTGCATCAACCTGGCGCACTTGCCTCTTCATAGGAATAGTCATGAATAGTGTCCAAGTACGTCACGACTTTCAGCCTCTTCTGGGGAAATCCGAAAAGGCAGTCGAATTCATGCGGGAGATACAAGTAATCCTCGTCGTCGCTGCTACTCGAACCGCTGTTGCTGGAGGAGCTGCTCGAGCAACTTGTAGACGAACTGTCATCAAGCAGCAGCAGCAGCAAAACGGGCGGCACTTCGCGAGCGGCCATAACCAATTTTTTTCGAGGCGAGATGCCCGGCGAGAAAGGAAGTCACGTGTGCGCACCGAGGGCCGGACAGGCTGGCTTCCGGTCGAATTCACCGAAACCGGTCGAGCGAAATTTCTTGGATCCAGATCGAGATATGAAGTGGGAGCTGATCCAGAACGACGAGGGGAACACGTCCGTCTTGACCCCGATCGCCCAGTGAAATAGGCGCGCTCCAGACAAGTGTATTCCGGCGCGCTCCAAAACGACCAGTGGAATTCGCCATATGAAGTTAAGCCAGTATTTATAAATTATAAAAAGGTCAGTTGGTGACACATTCGCCCCCTCTTAAGTTAAGGAACCAGGAACTCGCTTTGTTAGTCGTTGGTTAAGTAATTAACGAAGAAGGATGTCCCTACTCCTAGTGCATCGTTTTGATAAATGTGTATAGCACTAACGGATTCTATTGAGATCCGGCTATACACCAACTCAACTCTCCTACGTCACGCCGCGGTGGTGGCGCGCCGGACGCACTTCCGGTCTGGGGCGGTGGGCAGAAGTCGCCGTACCAGACATGCATTCCCGTGTTCCTTTGGGAGAAACGAGACAAAAAACCTGCCTTCTCGTCAAAATGCTGCGATGGGGGCTTTACCAATAGAGTCCGTAAAGATTTGATGATCAGTTTTCATGTGTTTTTGCACCCTCCGTTCGTCCGAGAACGTGGATAGTAGCCGTGAAAAGGGCAAACCAGACGCTGTCGAACTACGACTGCGTGTGCGGGCCACAATTTGTGGTCGCCAGATGTATTTGCTTTGTTCCAACATCAACGAGAGAAAACCCCCGAGTTGTCCGGACAACCCACGGGTTCAGTGCGTCTTCAAATTCACACGGCCGCCTGATCGTTCGAACTTTCGTCTGCTTTTTTTAGTATATGTACTTTGGAAGTACTTCTGCTCTTTCTAAGTTGTCTGCTTTTTGTCGTCTGCTCGTTCAAAGAAAAGCGGCCCGTAGACCAAACTTTGACCCGGTGATTGCAATAAGAAGTAATTGCAGGCCTCAAAAGGCTTAAGTAGGCTCGGTGTAAACAATAGATACAAGATGTTAATTATTGGTACCGGTGGCCATCACCTACTTGTTACGCTTGGTCTGTTCCCGCTTTCGAGTTTCAGTATCGACGTCGATCATCGCCGCTACCTTTTACAATTTTGCAGCACGAGCGACGTCGCGACCGAAAAGAGCTACAAGAATGTCATCATGGTTTTGGCGTCCATTCTGCGGCGTTCATGCGAATGAATCGCCGCACGTCAAATTATTTACGGAAAGTTTAGCGGCGTAATGAACCTTGATAATTTCGCTCAGGCGATTAAAGTGGTAAGACACTGCGATGAGGACGTAGAATCGACAACTCCAACGCGAAAAGAGTATGCAGACTCACACAGGACGCCGACAACGTGACATTCGAATGGTTTGTTGACGCGGGACGCGGTGCTTCTTGCCCGTACTCCATTGCGCGTGGGTTCCCCTGTCGTCTGCTCTTTCAAACTTGGCTGTTTTTTGTCGTCAGCTCGTTCAAACGACAGCGGCCCGTAAACCAAACGTTGACCCGGTAATTGCGATAAGAACTAAGTGCAGGCCTCAAAACACTTTTGAAGGTTGGTTGGGGTAAGTCGGCTAAGGTGTAAACAGATACAAGAAGTTGTTGATCATTATTACCAGTGGCCATCACCGACTTGTAATGCCCGATTCTACTTGCGGTTTTCAGTATCGATGTCCACCATCTCGGCTACGGTCCACGCTTTTGCAGTCCGAGCGACGTCGCGACTGAAAATAGCGAGCAGAATCTCATCGTGAGAGTCAGGCTTTAGCGCCCATTCTGCGGCGTCCACGTGAAATGAATCGCCGCACGTCACATTATTCACGCAAAGTTTTGCCTCGATAGTTTTCCTGAAGCCGCTCAAGTAGTCAGACATTGTTAGGAGGACGTAGAATCAACAATTCCAACGCGAAAAAGAACACTTGGACTCCCACCGACGCCGACAACAACGCAATTTAATGGTTTGTTTATGGGCGACGGCGGGCTTCTTGCCCACCATCCACCGCGCATGCGCGGCGCCGGTGGCTTCCGCTAGGGGCGCTCCGGTTTGTTTGTAAACATGAGTTGGTGTATAACTGAAAAGAAAGAGAATGAGAGAGACAAAATAAAGAGGGTGCCACCATTGTTCTTGAAATACAATAATGTCATCAGAAATAATACAGCAGTGGGTTGTGCTCTCACGTATCAGCAATTGACGTAGGCGCCGAAATGTGTTGTTAGACGTTAAGCCTCGATGTTTTTTTTCGCGTTTAAGTGTGTCGCGAATTGTAATACATGTATGTGTTCCTTTTTTTTTTTTTTGTACAGCTTATAACATCAAAGAAGCCGCAAATGTTCGACTACGGGAGAGAAAAAAACATGAAAGTGTATGGGCAGGTGAGAAGAAAAAAAAACGAACTGTCTTCGATTAGGAGATGAAGCTTAAATGAAGACGTTAAAGGAGTACCAGAACTCGACTAAACAAATGGTATGCAGTGAAGAAAAAAGTAATAAAGACGACAACCAGTCAGGTTTATTACCGCGACTCGGACGTCAACACACGAACCTTACACGCCGTTCACAAATTCGTAAATCGTCACGTGACCTCCTCCTCTTTGAACAAGGGGTCGACCTTCGTCAGGGGGATCAAGTGACGTGCTGGACGCACGAGATGTGCGTAAAAAGCTCGTATCTTTGGCCTAAGTCGCGAAGCGTTAGATGAGGGATAAGGAGACATTTTTATATAGGGTCACCGATTTACCTTACAATTAGCTCCAGACATTAATGTACACTAGTAACCCAAAGTTTACATCACATTTTTTTTTATTTTTGCGATGTTATTGAAGTTTTTAAATTTGGTCTGAGAGGCTGAGATGCTGTACTGACAACTCTGAAAACGTGACGTCAGATGTAATAGGGGCCAGTACAGGGCACTATAGCTTAATCCCTACGTGTTACAAGAAGTCTGATGGTGCCAAATGAATGTTTGTTACCCTCAAACAAACAAAAAAAACACGCACAAAATGTTTTTTTTTTAGACTGCCTACTTGTCTTGCAAGTTATACAACATTCGATCTCACCTCACTGGGGATCGCGGGAACATTTTAATACTGGTTTTGGCATCATGTTTAATTGCCGTTTTCTCAATCAGTATTTTGAACTTAGTGGTAATAAATAGCACGCCGGTCCTCCGGGATTGGACGGTACATCTGATCCATCGTCATCGCTAGCTCCTTTTTCCCCTTCCCTCACGCCACATGGGGCCCACAAGCCAGAGGCGTGGTCTTTCAAATAAACGTTTCAATCAACCAATCAATGAAATCCTGGATATTCCGAAGATATGCTAAGATGGGTTAGCTTAGCTCAATATCCGCCGGAGCTTCCCTTTAGCCAAGTATGCATTGATATGAAAAGTTGTACCGCGCTAATGGGTGACGCCTCCTTTCTATTCCTTCCAGGAGGAACCTCCACTGTACTCGCTCGACAGAGTTCAGAAGGACATCGGACTTTTTTGGAGCCGCGGGGACGCCATCGTCACACCCGACGAGGTCCGACATTTGTTGCAGGACCTCGGGCCCCGCGTCAAGAAGAACCATTTCATCGACGATCCGGACTACGCTCACGCCAGTTTCGCCTTAGCCCTTTGCAACCCTACTGTTCTCCACAAGGACCTTCTGGAGTTCTTGGACAAGTATAGACTGCCTTCGGAATAAATACCATATTTTTCGTCCTGACTTTTTTGAGTCGGTGCCTTTAATACCTTCCAAATGATGTAGAAGGATGCCATGCTTTTGGTGGCTTGGCCCCTGTGTGGTTTAGCGTCCTTCCTGACCGAACTTGACATATGATGCATGGTGAATGGCTTCGAGCCAAGCCGGAAGCTTAGGAAGGGAACCTTGGAAAGTAACAAGTAACTTCAGAACTCCGACCTCATTGATGGTCAAAATGTTTACTGTACTGCAAGATACGAAAATCAAGTTTAAAGTGCGAGACTTCACCGATCCGCTAAACCAAGCGTTGCCGGAGAATCAACGTCATTGATCCTGCTCCTCTTTTCTACACGGTCCTCCCGTTGTTTAGCCTTTCATTCCTTCTTTTCTTGATTATCCTCTTCTCCCGCCTAACACTCTCTACGTATGCCTTTCTGAGGCTTCATTTCCAAACCTACATACCGGTAAAATATCTTTAAGCCTGTCTTTATAGCACAGGGGTCGAAGGGGCTATAATTTTCGTTATACTGCTACAATAGAACCATGTCTGCCACGCAGTCGTGAGGTCCTCCAGCGGGTCGCAATGGTCACCGCCACTCGACGACCACGCGTGCCCCGAATGGCCGCCAGATGGGGTCGATCACGTGGGCACGGGCCATCCCGTGTCGGCCAATAGAGTGTCCGGAAATTACCCCGCACTTGGCTTTAATTTCCTGTCCCGGCGATTCTCATCAGAGGCTCGTTGCAGCGAGACTGCTCCGTAAATAGGGTGCCCCTAATTACATTTATCGCGCAGGTCGTCAGGGGGTAGTAAAGAGGGGGAGGGGTGAAGAGAGGGCGCTACGGTCGCTGGCGATGAGGGAAAAAACTAGCGAAAGTAGCGCCCCCCGCACTGCCCTCTCCGCCTTCAACGGCTTCGATTTAAGCGTTCCTGCATAGTTTTGTTCTTTTCGAACTTTCTTATTTTTTGTTTCGTTTAGCGTATGAGATCTTTTTCGATCAAGAACTACGCGCGCGAACATTAGGTGCGAGCGCCGGAAAGACTGAAAGAGAGCATCGCTATAGCAAGCTGGTCGTTCGTTCGTTCACAGGGTTCGCGCTTCGGAGGGAGAGGAGGAGGACGCTGAGAAAAGTCAACAGCGACCGAAGCTGATAGCCCGCTCAAACACAGACTGGTCCCGCGCGGTAATATGGCGCTCTCGAGCAAGTGCTCCATTAGAAGGTCGGAGTTGCTGCCGTGAAGTGGCGCCGCTGCCGTGGATGGGCGGTATAGATGGCAGCGCGGTCGAGGCCTATATGAGCGCACATCCCGAACTCATCGTGAAAGTGAAAGTGCGGTGTGTGGGCGGAAGGGGCCGGTGTAGATGAGGAGCCGCCGCTCGGGTGTCAGTATCTCCACCTAAGTGGCGCATCAAAAACAAAACGTCGAATCATGCCGTTTTTTTTTTTTTTTTAAATTGTGTTTAATATATTAGAAATAGGGACGGAGCAAAAGAGGGTGAAAGTGAAAGAGAGAAGATCAATTATGTTATGTTTGTTTATTTTACACGTATGTACGTTTTCTCTCTACAGTTGAAACATTGTATACTTAGTTTCAGCTTGAGTCCAGGCGGAGCAGATGAATGGTACCAGCCGAGCAGCGTCAAAAGCGAAAGTCACCGGGCCTTTTCCGCGTCTGATATTTATTGGTCCCGTCAGAGCGTAATTATGATGTCATATCAACCGTCACAAATGCGTATACGGAGCGCGCAAGTTCGCCTGGTCCTTGCGCCCCTCATGGGTTTCTTTACCCGGCGAATGCGCATGCACGTACTTTTGTTTCCTCCTGACCTCCACTGTAGTGTTTTACGGAACGGCGTTCCAAGGAGCGATGGAACGCGTTTCCATTTGAGGGGGAACGCGTTCCCATTTGAGGAGGAACGCAGGAACGCCGCCCTCCTAGTCATTAGCGACTCAAGATTGTAGTCTGTCGGCCTGTTGCTGTTCTTGGTAGTCAGTTGATGACGCTCAAGTTTGCTACCAGGCTACGACTCATATGTCTGGGAGAAGTGTTTTTGTAGTTTGACGCTCGACCGGAACGGAGGTCGTGTTACGTTTTGAGAAGGTCCCTCACTTGCATAATGTAAAAACGAGCCTTGTCTTTATATTTTTAACCAAGAAATATATTTACTAAGTATTTGCTGTACTATATATATATACGTAGCTATTTTTGCTCCAGTACTTCACAGTGGCCCATCTTCAACTTAATTTCACTCTACCGGTATCTTCCTTATATCGGTCTTTACGATATAAAGGGACTAGGTTCTAAAAACTGATTCGGGTTCGTGAATATTCTATGACACGTATGCCTTCTCATCGAAAGATCGCAGACGCCACAGTCACCGCTATAAGATGCAAATGGCATCATGCCTAGCTACCCTTCGGAGAAAGCACACACAAACGCCACTAGATTGGTGGTAAAAAAAGAAATAAAAAATCCTTCCAATTTTGCTGGCGACATTTTGTCGTCCGAAGTATAGGTGGAAGAGTTCAGCCCCGGTTTTCCGAATTCCCCGTACAGAATTTCGTGCCTGACATTGAAATAAAACGTATGCAAATTCGCGTCAAAGGGGTGCGAAGCTAACCCTAACGAACTGCGCTTCCGAAGACAGCGAGCGCCGCCGCACGGCGGGAGCGAGCGAAAGGCGGGAAAGAGTTCGGAGATAAAATAATAAATTTGAAAGGGCAAGTCTGCCGTGATGATGAAGGTCCCCATGTAGCGGAAGGAAATATTTAAGTTTTTAGTCGTATTTGTATTTTCCGCACACTGAGTGTGCTCCACCATAACGATTCGCAAAATTTTGTGCGTACAATAAGAACATGCAAAGAAAGATAGATAGATAAATATATAGATAGATAGATAGAAAGATAGAGAAAGAGAGAGAGAGAGAAAACGTGCCGATGTGGGAAACGGGTTTGTTCGAAGACGTCTTCATTTGCGGAATGGGCAGAGTGGAAAACGATATTGCTGGCAACATGGAACCGAATAAAACAACAAACGGTATACAATAAAAGAAAATGATAGGGTGATTTGGTTTGTTCTTTTTTATCTTATTCCCCAATCTTGACACAATGCGAACGTGTCCATTTGTTTTATTGTTCGGAATCGTTCCTTTACGCGGAAAGGGGTCACAACAGATAAACAGACTGTTTGGGTAACAGGAAAAAACGGAGCCTCGATGAATCCGATTTAACGCAAACCGAAAGGGCTTCTCTGATGATGCTCGGGTATTTGTTGTGAAGACTACGTCGGCGTGTCGGCACTACTTTAGCTGTATTTGACAGCCTTTTTTAGATCTCAATGTTCACAATGTACGTAGGCATCTTTTTGAAACATCGCGACAGCTCAAATATTTATATTTGCGAGATCATCCTCGAAGAACAGAGAGTGAGGCGCTATAATTTTATTGGTGCACTAATGTGGATCAATAAAATTTCAGGATTTTATGTGCAATTTGAAACAGATGCGTCGAATCACCGCTCTTTTCGCCGTCGCAACCTTCAACTCATCATATTTTGTCCCACCAATAGACCATATCCTCTACTTGTTGATGATGATAATGATGTGGTGATGATGACATTGTTGTTGTTGTTTTTGAATCGGACCATTTCAAATGCTGCATCTACCCAGCAAACGAGTTATAAAAAAATAACAGCGCCCTGTCTGTGTGTTTCTTCGACCTCGTCCTACGTCCTTTTTGCGCTGTTCCCTCCAAACAGTATGTACAACCAACTAGCCCAACTACACGCCTTGCTATAAAAAAATAAGATCCATTTAACTTTTTCACGCGTCCTTTGCCATCAACTTTCCGGACTTCTCTTAACCCTTTCGGCCGAGCCCAAACCTACCGAGTATTTAAGTAAAAAATAAAACTTTTTTTTTCATCGCGGTCAGGACGGGATGCCAAAGTTTCAGAGCATGTACGTGATACGATTCAAAATATACTTGAGGTTTCCCAACTTCTCTTTTAATGAGAAAAGTGCTGCCAACAAAACCCGCGAATATAGGGAGATAAACGTCGTCAGCTAATCATCTCGTGCTCCATCTTCCAGTTAAAGATGTTAAAAATCTCATAAATTTCGGAGCAGATAACGGCAAGCTCTAAAATTTCAGCGTCTGGTCCGGATTGTTGGTGCAACATTTGGAGCAATCAAGTCAAGCCTATGTGACTGTGACAGGTCTGTCTCTGCATGTTTGTTTTGCAAGCTATAAATATTGGTTGATTGATTCACTGACTTAACTCGAAACACATATTCTAGTTACTGATAATGCTGCGTATAGGCACACCACCAAAAATGGCGAACACTCGTCTGCTACAGTCGTGCATGCACACAGAAAGCCCGGGTGAAAAAAAGATGGCCTAATACCTTCTCTAAACCAATATCTACTTAAGCCTTAATTTGCAACGACAAATGAGGGATCAAGCATAAAATAAAAGAACGGAAGTCAAAAAGAAAGGCGTTTAGACCGTCATTTGTTTTTACATTAAAAGAAGCACAGTGCCTGTCACATTAACAGGCACGTACCGCGATTCGAACCGGATACAAGCGCGGCACCTTCTCGAACGGCATAAAAATATATTTGAGGAGGAGAGAAGCGGAATACGCTTTCTCGGTTTAATGTATTCGAGGAAGGGAATCGGTCCCCGTTAGGCATGCAAATAAACGCGGATGCGAAAGGGTTATCCCACGGCCGCTCCGGCGCGGGGCAAGATGAACGTTCTCTTGACGGGGTGCGAGCAATTTCATAGGGCCCGTATCAAAAAAATCTCCCTCTTGCTTCGCCGATGCCGAGGCGCTAATGAACTGCCTTGGGCTTTTGGGCGGGAAAACGGTTTGGCCTCACCCGTGGTCGGGGGCGCAGAGGGCCTTGTTAAGATCTGATCCTAGCTTTCGTTCATTTTTTTCTTTCTTTTCCTGTACATTTGATTCGCTCGAGGTACTCCCTCCCCATCTCTCGCGCT